GATACTCTAATTTTGATATGATTTTCACCCTTCAGTCGTTCTCTCATTCGGACTTCTGAAGTGTGCGCCAACTTTCAGAAGGTACGCTGTATGTTCACATTGGAATCGGAGGGGAATGATTCTACTAGCATCAGAAGATATTATTCCATGTTTATATTCCTAAGACGGTCCTCTGATCACGCTCTCGGAAATGCGAGTGAAAATGCAGGTTACTTACGTCTCCACTACGTGGGCCGTGATCACCGAAAAAGAAGATGAATGAGTTGCTAAGCTGAAAATTAACAATATTATCGAGTAAATCTCAAGCTAAAGACCACTTTTATTCAGCGCACCGCATCTCTATTCTTCAGATAAAAGTCGTATAGTTTGTAGTCGCTACGATACAACCACAAAGTGTCATCATGTGCCAGCCAGACAAACCATGTGAGCGAGAATTTTGGTAACCCTTGAGAGTCTCACTTACATTTCTTGAATTGATGGTATGATCTCAAACCTACTACTCATGACCAGCACAACACTAAATGATGACCTATTAATATCAGGGGTGTTCTGAAAACACTTACCGTTGTATGCGTTCACAAAATGTTCGAGGTAGTCCAGCATATTGTCGTGCACAAGCCGACAGGATCCCTTCGTATGAACATGCTCCAAGTGCCGGTCGCTGCTCAGCCTTGATTGAAAAGGCCTAAATGCCGAAGACTTGTGAAAATTAAGGGATCTCATCGGACCGTCCAAACTTGATTTTTGCTAATGGTCCTGGTGAAGAGGCGCTGTCCTGCGCTGTGAGATGATTTTGCATGATGAATACTTTCAGGATTCTGATTATAAGGATCGGCCACCACGTTGGTCCGATTTCAAAAGTTGGGTTCCTCTCTGGAAACTTGCGATACGACCACCCTTCCCCCCTCCCCACTTCCGTACCAGTGATTCGTCTCTTCATCAGTTTTCAAGCTACCTTGCTGAAAACGTGGTTTTCAACATACAGGTCTTCAATGGGTCAATCCGCCTTGAAAGATCACAAAGCAGCTTTCCGAAAATTTCTTCCGTCTCCGAAAGTCATTGCTCAAGTGATGCCCCTTCGCTGACTGAGATTTAGTCTGGAAACTCGGGCTTTCTGTACAGGAACATTCGCGCGCGCAAAAACTAATAGACCCTTCCGCAGTAAGATGCATCATACTCTGAGACGTTGCATTCGTTTGTGGTTAAGGGTTGAAGAAGCAGTCAAAATTTATGCCCACCATCTACGGCCGCCACAGCCATCCATTTCGATTCTGACCATGCGACGCTGTAAGTTTGAACCCACAGCTGCGAGCCTCAGCCGTATCTGTCTATCCCGTCGATTTCGTGGCGATTTAGGCTAATGACGTCTTTCCATATTCAGGTTTCTTGTAATATTAATCATCCCCAGGGACCTGCTCCAAAGAAATCCGCGCGTTACGATACGAATACAACCTTCCTTCGCCTTCTCTCCATACAAACACGACTCCCCCTGTTGGACTTTGAACCACGCTAGACGATTCCCTATTGCTCATTTAGCAACTATGGCCACTAATTCGAGAAAATGCGTTAGAAGAATAGGGCGAACTGCGAGCTGCGGGCAAAAACAGCATTAACAAGTCAAAATTAATTGTTAAACTTTAAGCCGTTATATGCCCAGATATAGGCACTAACCGCTCTACACGTTATATCTGTGAGTCTGAAAGCCTATGGACGTAATAGGCACCAAAATCTGAGTTGAATAAATGGTGCCCCCAGTAGCAGTAACTTGTAAGCGCAGCTTCCGTCCGGGAGCCAAGAGCGAGTTCCGAGTCTCGTGCTTGGCGTAATTTTGATCACATTCCCACATTCTTTATAACGTCCAGTTAGCGTATTACGCAGAAAACCCTAGACACGAGGGGCCTCAAAAAGGCAGAGATCAAGTGGGGAGAAGCTTGATCTCAAAAAGTTCGTGTCAATAGTCTTACAAAGAATACCCTTGCCTATGGAGTTTACGCATGTTAAGAACTCGGACCTCCTCGATACGAATTACTTATATAAACTATTTGAGAAGCAAGGTTCCAGCTTGCGCATCCTAATTTTGAACCCTAGGCACATCACCCTCTACTTCCAATGGTGTGAAGCCAGCCGTGGTAAGTAAGACGGTACGAAGCTAAACGCAGATCATTTTATAGTCTTCTCCGTAGTTAAAATGAATTCCAAATTTAGGGGTAGAGGAACCCATCATTGCTCCTCATTCTGAATGCTGCCTTTTTGCTGATACCAAAATAAGCGAGAGAGAAATGCCTCACACCTGTACGAATGCTGAAACTGTCTTGTTTTCGTACCAAGGCAATTAGGGTAGTGGAGAACGCTGGCCGTCGGGGAGTCTTCAGCTCCAAACATCTAAAAAGTACTTTTCTGCGTGGTGAAACCTTTCTCTTCTATGTTTAAATAAATACCTTATATAATAAATAATAAAGGTAGTACTTTATATCCAGCTTCTAACATCAGTGGAATTAATTCAATCTGTCCAGATAACCGTCTGCATAACTGCCGACAACAAAAGTCTCTGTATTCGTTGCAGTTCATGGCCATCTTGTAACAGGTCCGCGATTTCTATGTAATAAGCTAATATTCGAGGTTAAAAAAAAACACAATAACAGCGCTTTCAAGATTGGCTGATTCGTGTTCCAGCGATTCGTCCACTTTCCCAACTAAGATTGTAAATGGTCTGTCAGTATTTACAATACGGACAAATAATAATAAGGACCATAGCATGCGCTTGAGGGACGACTGTCTAGTCTCATAGACTCCTAGCTACTATCATCCTCTACTTCAAAATTTGTTTTTTTTTCTGCTGAAGAAAACGTAGAAACCGCGAAAGTCCTCTCAATACAGTTCTCAAGCAGTTGACCGGATGGTGGTAGATGAGTGGTGTGCTACGACGTCTCCTTCCATATCTCAACACGGCACGCATTTCTAGAGCGATTTTTCTCTAGCTCGATTGCTAGATTTGGGAAATGAATTCCTAAAATGTCGCCTGTGCACAAAGATGCAATTGTTTGAATTTGCTCACCTACCAACGCTGCGAAGGCATTCGGTCTGCTGTTTGATCCGACTCTGTTGAACTTTCGGAATTCCACGGCTTTCATCCCGTGCAAAAGGAAATTCACTGTTCTTGGTAGAGCCCTAGAAAACAGCTTGCAGTAAACCCTCTTTGGAACTTGCTCAAATTTTCATTCGATGACAGTTATTCGAACTCGGGCTCAAAAGGGCACAGGTGTTGTCAGGAATTAAGCTGCCTTCCATTGCAAATTAAATGGATATAAAAGAATGCACCATTATAAGCACCTTTCGTTTAGCTAACTTCAGAAGTGTGAGTGCTTATAAGCTATGGTAAACACAACATGAAACGCTGTGCTAGAGCGAAACGGTGCCTATGTAGCATACCTTGTAGGGCACGTGTCCTGTAAGAGGGATGCGGGTTGAAATCCTGCGTGGGGAAAGTACATATTGTTCGCCAGTACTTATCAGCTGCTATCTCGCTTTGTCAACCACCAAATATGTTCCCGTCCCGTTCCCTATATCATATCTTGAAACAGCTCCTTGACCTGCTGGTGCCCGCGCTATGAATTTCGCGACACTTGCGTTCTAGCGCCTTTTATCAGCCCTTATCAGTTGTTATCACTTTCTGTACCCCACCAAATATGTTCCCGTCCCACCCCCTATATCATATCTTGAAATCAACTCCTGCTGACAGCTGGTATGCGCGCTATGAATTTCCTTTTAAACATACACATACACTGAGCGACGCACTTAACCGGTTATATTAGGTTGGTCTATAAGTCCTGTGACAAATACCCACCTCTTCAGCCAACCGTCCAGCTCACTGTTTCGCTTCTTGTTGAAGCTATCCATTACACCGATTTCGCGAAAACCCCTTCGTGCCCTTAGTTTTCGCGAGTTCTGCTTGTAGTGTTCCCCAAGTCATGCTACACCAAGGATTAGTCAGAAGATGGTCGAGGCACGCTCTTTTAGTTCACCGGCGCTTCACTCTGTTCAGCGTTAACTTTTGTCATTTGAAGATGATCCACGCTCCAACCACCCCCTGGCAATCACGATGCTCTGCCTGACGCTGTTGAAAATTCTCCGGCTAGACGGTCGATTTTTTGCCAGAGAAATTCTTAAACAACAAGGTGACAGTACGAGGCATTTACGAAGACTTATTGGTCCTAAAATATAGAGTTTGGATCCCGCCTGCCTCGGGCTCGAATCAGCTCCAAATACGATCTGACATTAACAAATTCAAGTCGACTTACTATGTAATCTTCGATTAACCAGCCATCACATTAGCCAAAGACGAGTAGTACAGAGAGGC